AGTACTGATGGTCAACATTCAAAATCGACAACACCTACCAGTTTCACTACATTAGCAGGTAGGTGATCAATTGTAGAAACTTTTGCAATTAGCGAATACTGTTGCACCATGAATAGTTACACTGAACACTTTTTCAATGTTGATATAGGAACCAAAATACTGTTATAGTTGTTTCAGTAATATCAGCATTTAATTATATTGTGTAATTCATTATATGTAAATATTTTCTCAAAATAGTGAGGCTTTGTATACAACCAGGTCAAATATTGTGTTGGAGGAATATAATAAGTAAGTTGTAGGTAAGCCATAACCTTCATTGAAATTAACGCACAGTAACATTGACTGTTATATCTTCCAGAAGTACAATTTGATGTCAGTACTACTAATATTACAACAAGCCAAGCGACGATACTATGGAGAATTGTACCTATTGAAATGATGACAGGCTTGGTATTACAGTACAAGGTGACTAGTATGAATTGGACTAATGCAATATCATTAGATACGTCTGTTTCAAGATACACTCTCAAAGAACTCTCGCAAAATACCAATTATGTGATACGGCTTCTAGCAATACACTCTGACGGAGGCACCTCAATATCAAATTATGTGTTTTTCAAAACAAAAGGTTTGTTGTTGCCCATTTATTTAAAAGATATAATGCTGTCACTAATAAACTATAGCATATATTTGTACACTCTTGGTGATAACAAATATTCTAATTTAAGTTGCCAATTGGAATTGGTAATAATTTACATAATATCATTAATACATTGACAGTGCTTGTTGTTTATGTGACATAATCTTGACAAAATGTTACAGTATATTATAAATTAATTTTAATTTTACAGAAATACCTATTGCCACTACAGTGAAAGTTATGTCTGTAACAATGACTACGGCTACTGTATCATGGGACGTATATGATCGTGATGATATCACTTTTCAAATTAGTGGGATGATTGTACAATATAGAGTTGTCCAGCTAAATAATACTTGGATGAACTCCTCTTTAACCACTGCTGGTGCCCGCACCATGCGATTAACTGGTTTACTGCCAGGTACTGAGTATATGTTCAAAGTTATAGTTGTTCTTTATGATGGCACATCATCTGAAAGTGAATCGGAACATTTTATAACTGTATGTAAGTATATTTATAATAAACTAATGTACTATGAATTATCGATACATCTTTCAGATAATATTGCTTTACAATATGGCAGGAGAAGTTATTTGATGTCATGTATGTAGTTAAATTTATCTTTCTTATATTCCAGCTGTGACAACGATATCTGAAGTATCTCTGATTGACATTCGCCCATTCAGCGCGGAAATTGGCTGGTCCATTGATAACACAGATTCACCAACAGGAGTTTATATTCGTTATAAATTGACCACGTCATCATCAGAATTTTTACGATCACCACTATTAGCATCAAGTATCAGTTCGTATACACTGTCCGGTTTGTCACCCAATAACGATTACACATTCAAAATGGAGATTGTCACAGATGCAGGCACAGTGGTAAATTCAACACAACAAATGTCATTCACTACACCTGGTAAGTTTACCTTCAGGCACCAGAATGATTCTTACAAATGATGAACTTATTTTTGGTAACACATATCCTTGCAGTAACACAATGCTTTGTGCAGAACATTACAATAAGTTGCCATGTAAATTATCATGCATTTGAATATGAAAATGTTTTCTATCTTATTACAGACACTAACATATTTCACACCCTTTTTCAGCCCTCTTACTCCCCCACGACATTGAAGTAATTAACATAACTGATACAAGTGCTGACATCGTATGGATATTGGATGAAGATTCCAATGTTTATCACGTGATAGTACAATACCATGAAGACACTAGCCGCATTGCCAGAGATGCCAATAGAGTTTTATGGACCAATTCTACTGATCTACCTCCTACAGAATCGTCTATTCATCTTTCTGATTTGACTCCACACATGATATATACATTTAGAATTCTAGTTATGGATAAAGACCTGGAACATGAAGATGTTACAGATGAGGAAAAATTTGAGACAAAAAGTGAGTGATAACTATTTGAACTAATATATCAATTATTCAGTGAAACAACCATCACCTTTTAACTTTGTGACAATTACAATGCATGTCACAGTGGTGTAGTCATTGGATGGGTGCCTTATTATATTTTAATAGGATTGGTAAAAAGCGTGACTTTTGACTTTTCCTCATAATAACACCCATGTCGAGTCTGTTGTTCATTATAACACCTGTTTGTGGTGTCTGGAACAACATGGAAATCGGCATTTTGGTTCTTATGTTGTCTTTCTTACCAGTCCCTCTCTATGTTAAAATAATAATCTGGCACTGCAGCAAGTCTGCCGTAGATATGGATCGAGATCAACAATGAACTTACTTGATGTGTAATTCTAAATTTACAGCCTCAGTTATAAATAGATCAATAGATTGTAGAAAGGCTATACTTGTATAGCAGCATGAAATAAAATATGTGAATGACATCACTAACCCAGCTAGTTATGAATTCACCTAAATCATGATAGTCGCCTAGTACTGCTGCAGATATTGGTCTGCAATGGAATGTCATAATGTGAAAGAAATAAGTCTGAAGTATTAACAGATTCAGACCAGATCATATCTGTGCTGATAGTGTTTCATGGAGATATGTGAAATAATTGATTCCTGTTTAGAAAACATACTGCCATGTTGTATGAAGTTGTAACATTTGTCAGTATAAATTGACCACACCTAACCCAAAATATCATTTCTCTATTACAGCCCCACCAACAATTCCACTTCCCAGAGATGTCACAATCACACACATTGGGCCTGGGGGTGCTACAGTCAAATGGACGATGGGCGATAACACCGGAGTTGACATGTTAGTGCTACAGTACCGACCGAGCAATGGACCATTGGATTCTTGGATAAACGTAACGTCACTGCCTCCTTCTAGTGGCTCGCATGATTTGACTGGATTATCCCCAGGAAGTGAGTATGATATCAGAATGGAGGTGGTCTTCAGAGATGGAAGGACTCGATACACACAGCCACAGTCGTTTGAGACCAAAGGTGAGCTATATCTAGCCTAATTACTTCATATATGTGATTCATCAATTTATGAATTTCAATATTTCAATAAAGTGAATAATTTGTCAAACTATTAATGGTCAAACATGTATGTATGTATGATAAAAGAGAAATAATATAAATTACATTACTTACATTACATTACATTACATTACATTACATTACATTACATTACAACAAGTAATTATTACACAACCAGACAGTAAGTAACACTATCTGAATTTACAGGTCTCCCAATACCATATGATGTTGAAGTGACTGATATCACAAACACAACTGCAACACTCACATGGCAGATGGATGTTGAGCCGTATGTGGCTGGTATTATTATACAGTATACTGTTGATGGGGACTACTGGTTTGATTCTTCTTTCATTCCTTCTGGAAATAATACTACCGAGCTGTCGTCACTGTTTCCTGGAACGCCATACACATTTCGATTCCTTGTCATAGCAACTGACCAGGGCACGTCTGTGTCACAGTTCTATAACTTCATAACATTAGGTAAGTCGCATGACATCAAGCAAAGCTACTATTAGATATGTTGTTTGTTCATGTCAGATTAATGATGTGATTACTTATAATTATTTCAGGAGAACCATCTGCATACAACATCAGAGTTAGTGACGTCACTAGTGTCTCTGTCACAATCAGCTGGGATGTGCCGGAGAACATGACAGTCGATGGCACCATCGTACAATATAGAATGAGCAATACTTCTTGGTCAAATTCCTCGTATATTGCTATGCCGAATACAAGTGTTATTCTCGTTAATCTATCTCCAATGTCGAAGTATATATTCCGCCTTGTGTTTACACATCCAAATACAGAAGTGACCACTACCCCAGCATACTTTTTTCAAACACTCGGTGAGCATTGTTTGTACTAGTTACAAACACAACACGGTAGCAGTGTATCAGTGTTACACATCCATTATGTTCTACCTCGTGACATATTTTACATTAAACCTTACAAAACACGTACCACTTAAGGTAGAGATGCAGGTTCGTGGGCACTTGGGAGTGAATTTTTTTTTTTTGCTTTTTATTATCCAAACAGTCTTGGCTATAGACTGTTTGTAGAATTGTGAATAGTGGAACATAATCAAAAGACGATTTTAAAATATAGATAACAGGTGCAAACATTCTTTCTTTTGAATGCTTAGCAAGATTTAGCAAGGCTGTACATAAATAATAAAAAAGAAACATGGTGAAAAAAAGAAATGACTGGATCTCCATATTATGCACTATATTTAACTTTTTACAAAACGATAATACATTTAAATTTGGAATTATTACAGCCATTTTAATTATGCGCATTAGCAAACTTCTTACTGAGTGAATTGTTATGCAAATTAGCAATTATCTCAGCTTCTTTTTAGTGCACATCCCTGAATAGCTTCTAGATGCTTTGACCCTTTGTTTTGAAATTTTCACAAATGATTGACAATGTGTTTATCTTCAAAACACCATCGGGGCATTGTTTTTGGTTGAACAGTGTTACAACAATCGTACAGACAACTAGCCTGGGTGTTAATTTATGCATAAACTTGAAGTAGTGAAATTTGAGCTGCTGCCCTGCAAAATTGACAACTGGTAGACAGTTTTCAAGACGGCACTTTCTTCATAGTAAACAGATGTACCCGTAAACCAATTTTAACAGGAACCATAAGCATGGTTTAGAAGCCCTTTTTTTTTAAAATCACTTTTGACCAAAAAAGCACATTTTTGTGCATATTTCAAACTACAGTGTCCATAAAAAAATTTTTTTAAAAGTCATACAATAAGCTTTCGGAAAATATATAGTTTGGTGGACAAGGGAGGTCATCTTGGTTTCCTAATTAACTAATTAATATACCTGTCAGGTAAACTGCATCTCTACCTTAATAAGGCTTGTTTTCCTGATAAATGTTCGTACACATGATTAAACACACAAGCGCTATTCATTATTTAATCAAATGAATGAATAAATGAATGAATGAATGAATGAATGAATATGATATTGAATGCTTCAAGTTATCCAAGTTTCATAACCATGGTCATATTATTTACATTTTATTGCAGCATTAGCCCCACCTTTACCAATCTACATTAGAGTGATTGACATACAATCTACTACAGCTACTGTGATATGGAAATTTGAATTCACTGACGGAATTAGTGGATATGTCATCCAATATAAAACTACGTCAGAAACATTCCAGAATTCAAAATTCATACCCATTACCAGGAATTCACTTATGCTGCTGGACTTGAAGCCTGATTCTCAATATGTCCTTCGGATGAAAGTGATTGGAATAGAAGGAGCTAATGTATTTACACCATTGGTTATATTCAAAACAGGAGGTATGTATTAAGTTGGATAAAATTGAATACACACTGAGTCATGTGACCTTTGTTGTCACGGTTTGATTAATGTAATTATACACAATATAAGTATTGTCAACACATGTGAATTTTGACGATACAATATATTGAAGCATTTTTTTTCATTTTAACAGATGTTCTGTTCGCACCTGCATCTATCGGGGAACAAGATTGGTGGATGTGGCTCCTCATTGCAATTATCATATTAATATTCCTAATTTGCATCATTTGCACAGTATGTGTGCTTTGCTGTAGGCGAAAGAAGCAAGACTATGAAACACGTGACAAGGAATTACTAACATCACATGACGCTAAAATGGTAATTAGTATTAGGTATTAGTATAAGATTAAATGATTGATATGACATTTTTAAACACCCATAATATTAAAATCAATTTTTTGCCTAGAATAGCACATTAAATAGAAGTTATATTCTACAGGCAGATATCACTTATGCCGTGGCCCCAGGACCTGTGCTGGATTATGATGAGGCTGACTATGATTTAGACCGGTACGCACTCCTCCAAGATATTCAAAAAACTAGACCTAAATTCTGGGAAATTCCAAGAGGCAATATAAGACTTATTAGGATTCTGGCGGAAGGTAAATTTGGGGAAGAGTTGTGGGAAGGACAATTGGAATCATATGGTGAGGTAGCAGATGTTGGTGTAAAGAGACTCAAAGGTATGTGCTGGTGTATAACTGATTTGTATATTTGACACATACTAGACATGAACCATTTAACATTGTTGTGACAATACATTTGTACATCAATGCTCATCTGTAAAATGTATTATTATTTACAAAACTTCAAGCAGAAATATTTCATCTTTTACACAAATGTGACTATTATATATTACTGTTTCTGATAATAATATTTTGATGTGGCAGGGGGCAGTCGCCTGTATCGCCCCTCCAAAATCAAGCTGAAACCCTTTGTGTCAGCAAATTTTTCCCCTCAAAATGAAGAAAATAGCGGTCTAGATTTCATAATTTTCAAGGGGGAGCATGCCCCCTAGTAAGGTCACGCCTTCTGCGCAAGGTTGGTGAGAAGATCGTCGCATTTGATAATCTGATTATTTGTACCACAGATGATAACAATGTCAGCAATAAACAAATTCTTAACCAAGAATTGGATGTACTAAGCAGAGTCAGCAAACACATGAACATAGTGAACCTTGTTGGTGCATGCACGATAAATGGTAAATATAAAGTGTTAATTACTGTATGTACAACTATTTGTGTAATACTTTTATAATTTGCAGTAGCAGATGAGACAATCATCTGACAAACTCACAAACATAGCTGCAAGCAGCAATGATGGCAGACTTGCAGCCAATAGGCTGTAAGTGAATGTATGGTCTATGTATACATGTCCACCTTTCCTGCATGGCAATAAATGTTGACAAATCCATCATACATACATCAGTAACAGTTTGCTTATTCTCACATGTATGCATACCAATGAGATCACATATTTCTATCATGTATAGAAAAAGATGGTTTGCTCTTGCACTGCAAGCCTTATATAATTATATTGAACACTATTCCCTTTTAGGCCCACTTTTGATAGTAAACGATGATCCAGAGAATGTTCGACTACATCATTGGTTGAGAACATTTGATCGTTTACATGATCCTGTGCGCCAAAACACTCCAGGATTTAATGTCAGCCTACAAGTATTGCCACAGTTGCTAGACTTTGCTATTGATATATCCAAGGGTTTAGGATTCTTGGCATCTCTAAAGGTATGAGTAGTAATTTATCACTTTTTGTTATTCATATATCCATGGCAATCTGTAATGGTGTGAATAATCACTTCATATACATGTTAATATGATTACATATTCCATTAACCACAATTGTTCAATATTTCAGTGTGTAAACCACCATCTTAGTACACGACACATCATAATAAGCGATAACCTTGTTGCCAGGGTAACGGATTATGCAATACCACTTCCACAAGAGGGTAGATACGCGTCACTGCCACGAGAATCACAGGTTAGTGTGAATATTTTGCCCATATAATCAGATGTACAGGCATGCAAGGCTGCAATTGTTGTTTTACTGTTAATTTGTTTTCATCCCACATTTGGACATATCACATATTTGTGAATATTTAATTATTTTCAGACACCTGACGATATGAGGTGGATGTCATATGAATCGCTATTCTATAATTTGTATTCTGGCAAAAGTAATGTGTAAGTAATATTAGCAATGTTTGTCAATTTTATAAAACAAAAACTTGATATATACAAATGTTCATATACACAGATCAAATGAATACACTCTATACATATACAGCACTACAGATC